CGTGTCCGGAAAACTATGCAAATTTTTGTGAAAACGTCCCTTATGCTCAACACAGTACAAAAGGGTTAAAGTATGAGATTTGCATAAGTTTTGAAAACATTTATGTTTAGCTTGTATTCCCCCCTGAAAACATTAAAAATACGGAAAATGTAGGGGTATGAACTCACAGTTCTTGTTGTGAAATAGTTGACTGAAATGAAGATCCTCGAGTTGTTTCACGTGACACTTAACGGAATCCTATTATCAAATAAATACATATATGTATCTAAATTAGCGATTTCGTTAGATAACGTGTTAGAGGTACACTTGTATTCGGTTGAGGAATGTTACCGGGACTTGATCGAATCGATGAAAGTGGGTTTTCAGTCAAAAGCACCACCAAAAAGGTGTTTACGGTCGTAAGCTAGAGTTTACGGTTTCTGAAGACTCGGTGAGTTTACGGTTATTGAAGGCTTGGACCGTAAACTCAAGAACAGAGTTTACGGTTCTTGAAGGCTTGGACCGTAAACTCAAGAACAGAGTTTACGGTTTCTGAAGGCTGACCGTAAACTCAAGAACACTAGTGCTGATTTCGAAGAGATAATCGTTTCCAGGCGTTCCCAAGTGACTCCAAACGTGGTTTCTCGATGATTTCCGAAGTTTGAAGGCGTTTTGAGTGTTTACGGTTAAGGTTCTTAGAGAGAGAAGGAGAGAGTTTTTGGCCAGAAATGTTCTAATGAAGGTGGAGGTATCGTATTTATAGGGGTGAGGTGGTCGGTGATGGGGAGTCCACTCGTTACTGACCGTAAACGAGTTTACGGTCATAAACACGTTTACGGTCGTAACCTCACTTAGACCGGGAATGTTGATTTTTCGAGATTTTTGGGTTTCCGCGCGATTTTTCGTTCCGACTCGTAAATAATTTAATTATATACATAACTAGATTATTTTCAAAACCAAGGAGTTTGACGGAAAAGTTAACAAATTCGAAATTTTATTAACGAAACTCGCGTAACGGAAACGGACAAAGTTTCGGGTTGTCACATATAGGATGGTTGCTATGTTATTGATCGGTTAGATCGGTATCCTGGTTATTGGATGGTTGCCATGATTAGTGATCTGTTAGATCTGTATGACTATTTGTACTTGCATGCTAGCGTACGATGTTTATGTGCACATGTTTATTGGTTTGGGGAATTGGGTTGAGGCAGATCCTGCATTGTGTTGTAGGCCAAGATACCCAGGGCGGACCGGATAGACTGCAGACCCGGTTAGGGCATACTAGTCAGGCCGAAGGCCCGACGAGCGGTCCGGATAGGCTGAAGGCCCTGAGAGGCGGTCCAGACGTGCCGAAGGCTCGTAGAGCAGTCCAGATAGACTGATGGCCTGTGAAGCGGACCAGTCAGACTGATGGCTCATTGTGCATGTTGTGTTTCTTTATATGATATGGTTATATCTGTATGGCGTTGGTATTTTGGGGGGGAACTCACTAAGCTTCAGGCTTACAGTTGTTGATTATATTTCAAGTACTTCTGATGATCGTGGGAAGGCGAAGGCGTGATCGTGCACCTCCTTATATTTTCATGATTGGATTCGGGGATATTCTGATGTTTAAACTATTTTGAAAACAAACTGTAATAACTTAATGGTTTTAAATGTTTTTAAAAGTTTTAAATTTGCTCTAATTTTATGGGTGTTACAACGAAATTGCCACTAGGGCTTCAAAGAATAATTCTTGGACCTAGGGACCAGTTTGACATGAAATAGAATTATAGGAATGAATTTAGAAGTACCTGAACATCGGGATGTTACAACTAGGGATTCACTACACCACCTCTCACTTTGTGATACCCCTAGGGAGACCTCACCAATCTGATACCGAGATGAGAAATGTGAGAGAAATGGGAGATTCTTGTTTTGATTGGTTGTTTTTATTTTTTATTTTTTTTTAATTTTTTTTTCAAAAATAAGCCCTAATAAAATAACAACCATCACTCCCTACCTTTTTACAACTTTGATGCTACCACTTCCTTCATCTTATGTGGCTTCAAAAAATTGTACATGGCCTTAAAAAATTATATGTGGAAACGTGCGTGCTATCACTCCAACCTTATTATATTGTAAAACTAGGCGAATACTCTACGTTGCGACGGATACAACAATATATTTGAAATCTTTATAAATATATGTTTTTTTAAATATATCAATGACGTTTTTGTTAGCTCTTAAAAGTTGGTATAAACATTGTTTGTTTTGAATTATATGATAATATAGATATCTTTTAAAATTATATAATCTCAATTGTCTTGATGACTTCTATCTGTCGGTTACTCATGAATAAATTAAATATAATGTACGCATTATATATATTTATAGTTGTTGTTATGATTAATTAATTTTAAAAAGTTTATTTTGCTTAAGATTTTAATTTCTATCATTGTAATCATCTAAAACATCAAAAATTGTTTTTGTTTTTATAGGTAATAATATAATTTTTGTATATAATGTTATTTTTAACTATTGTTGTTGTAAATTATTTAAAATAACGTATTTTGAAATTTTTAATTATTTTAATTTAGTTTCAAAAATTTAACTTTTTAAAAGTTTATTTGATGAATATTGGTGGTTTCTTTTATTGTTATCATTTAAAGTATCAAACATTGTTTTTGTTTTTAAATATAAAATTATAACTTTTATATAATATTAACTTTAACTATTCTTATTGTTAGTTATTTTTAAGCTATTTATTTGAAAATTCTTATAATTTCATGGTTTCTTTGTTAATTAAGAATTACAATTTAGGTTTAACACTATAACTTATAATTTTTTATCTATTTATAATATAGTCTATAAATTTTTTTTCAAACTTAACTGAATTTAAGTTAACCATTTAACATTATATTGAAATTAATAATTTAACTATTTTGCATATGCTCACATATGACTACATTTTTAAACTGATAAGTTAACTATAATATGTTAAAAAGTTAAAGTCTTAATTTTATAAATATAAATAAAATATAATATTTTAATATTATAGTTTAGTTAGTTTATGAATTGAATTTAGTTTTTATATTAATTTAATATTATTTACCAATTTATAATGATTATTAGAAAAAAAATTAAAAAATCATAGAGATTTCAACTAAGTAAAAATGTTTTTTTTATAAATATACTAGGTGTAAAACCCGCGTATTACACGGGTTGATTAAAAAAAATATTAAATATTAAAGGGTAAATAATAAGTATTTTTTAAAATAAAATAATAAATAAGAAATGAAGAAAACGTATTAATTGCAAGTTTACTATCACATTTATTACATTTAATACTTTATATATATAAATACAAGTATTATGTGGCATTTTAAATGTAAAATTTGAAAAAACCCAGAAATTTACACATGAATATTATTTATTTTCAAAAATATCATAAAATGACAAGTGTCAAAACTCATTAGAGATCGAAATGTGACAAAATGGATCTTCATTTATTATAGTAAATATAAATAGATACCTCCATAATGCGGTCCCACAAACATTTCTACTTTTGCATGCTAGTGGTTATAGGATCCTCGTATGTATGTTGTTGACAATGCCGCCTCTTCCTCCATGTTTGAGGGGTAGTTGGACGAATAAGATTTATTGTGTTATTCTTTTGGACTTTCGTTTCGTTTTGGATGCTTCGGCTTGTGTTTCAGGTTTCGGGTATTGTTTATTTACCGATTCGGTGCCATGTTCATCCCTAAAGAGTATCTGAACAAAAAATATTATCAACAGATGGTGTGTTTGGTCTTGAACCACGAGGTGTGTTAGATGTGGATAACGGGTAGATGTAATTAAACAAATTGTTTGAATCCAATGTTAAAAAAAAGGAGTGTTTTAAGAGTGTATTAGTAAAATTGTCGGACTGGAGGCCACCTCAGCACACCATAGATATTAAGTAGAGGTACGTCGTATCGCCTAACTATATGGCGGAATTGAAAATATAAAATCTTCGATAACACTTTTATAAATTTTACTAATAGATGAGCATAGTCATGAACAACTTCACAACCACATGTGAATGTGGTTACGCATTTTGCCATTTGGAGTAATGATAAGGCAATGTGGTGATGACGAAAATATGTCGGTTGAAAACGTGATGACACCTATTGATAGTAAGAGACATGTGTCGATATGAACACAAGTATAGATCTAACATATTACGTACGTAATGACTTTTGTTAATTTTTTGTTTTAGAATAAACACTGATAATTTTTTTAGGTGCTATTATTTGCTCTTTATTTCTATTCTTTCTCTTATTTAATCAATCAAAGGAAATTTATATATTTTATAATCAAACAAATATAGTTTTATTTTTTTATTAATTATGCTTCTATTCATATCAATCATTCAAACATCCCAACCCCCTATTATTTTAGAATTGTTTATTTAATTAGGGTTTTATTACTTATAAGATATATTAAATAATTATTCCTTATTTCCAACTAGATGAGGTGCCCCGCATTGCAGAGATGGATCTAAACAGATATGATTATTTTTGGCATCTAGTCGTTCTTATGGATATGAAGGGTTTTTGTTTGTGGAGCGTCATGGGTTCGCCATCGTAATCATTTAAAAAGAAACATGGTAAGTACCATCTCATTGTCAATAGAATCACATCACAATACATTATGGAAAATATATCAAATACATTCAGGTATGAATGCACATAATGGCCAATGTATAGAAGTTGTAATTGTTGCCTATCGGCACCAGCTTCAAACCTATGTAAATATAAAAAATAAATAGTACAATGTAGCCATCCAACTGCCAAAGTGAAATACAATGTAATAAATCTGATATAGAACTAAAATGTATACGTCAAATAACAAAATTGAGATGAATGAAGACGTAAAGAAGTACCTTTTCATAATCTTCCACATTATCCGATCTTGTATGAGTAAAATAGGGAAGAATGTAAATCCATAATCATTGTAATTATGAAATAAAACAATCCGAAAGCATATGAGATCATGGATCTGTTTCTATTTTTCCTCATTAAGTGTCGTTTAAGTATAACATTTAACACACATATCTCATAAAAGCAAAGCCACCACAAAAAAAACAAAAAAAAAATCAAATTTGTTGATGAGTGTGTGTTGCTAATAAGTTCAATCGCCGGATTTGTTAGATTCCATAATTTCTCAATAATTTCTGCTAATAAGCAAAGCCACCACAACCTTAGCCTTCAATTGCTCAATAATTTCTTGATCTTTCGGGTCAAACTTCACTTCGGCTGGTAATCCAGGCAAATCTGGAATCAGCCCCTGATCATTGCCGAACCACCATCAATTATCAGTTCAGAATCTATCTAAAAGACAAATAAAATTTACACCAGGAGAATAATAAGAAAAGTAATTCACATGATATACCTTAGCCTCGATTGGATCGTATGTCCACAAGAAGGGCAAAGAGACTACAATATGAAAATGAGTATCGAGTAATGAAACAATGAAAGTGGAGAAGTTGATTATAAAAGTATACCTGTTTAGCATTGAAGGGAGGAAACCTCTCCTTTGGAAATAGTCCCCCAATCCTGACATACCTCCAGAAACTGTAAAAGCTTGGAATAAAAGGAGTCATAATTCATCAAAACAAAAGGAACAGGGAGTGAAAAACCTATCCTCTCTAACTGGATGAGTGCAAGAATGTCAAAAGCCTCATCCAGAGTACCAATTCCACCTGGTAACACAATTACACCCGTGTTCTCCCCTTTACTACTTCTAACGACTGCATCCATCAACCCATGCTTTCTTGCAGAAAAAAACCTGCATTCAGATTCAGATTCAGTCAGTAAATAAATCCAATAATTCTAACCATATCATCATCTATCTACCTGCATGTAAGGTAAGCATGAGAAGGAAGATACGGATGAAAATTGGTTACTGTCCATTCCCCTGTTTCTTTAGCAATGTTGAACCCACCAACCGACTTTCCTGCTTCAAGAGCATCCCGAGTTGCAGCATCCATCAGCCCTGGTCCAGCCCCTAACCATGAAGTGCATCCCAACAGCTTTGCAACCTTTAACAAAATCAAAACTTTCATTCTTTTGAAACACAATACAAAAATATAAATATGGACCTGCCTCTGTTGCCAATTCCTCTGTTTGGATATAATGCTCATATTTAAAAAATGGTATGAAAACTATAAGATTACCTTTTTACCCATTAAGCAATGCCAAAGAGAATTATAAAGCCAAACTGTTGTGAATCCCACCAGAAATCCAGAGACAAATGTCGCCATATAGTGTATAAAATTCCTTAGCTGAACACACACACACACACACACACATACATACACACAGAGTTAATAATCTCATATGCATCAGTTCATAACCCAACAAAAAGACTTGATATTTTTTACCTTTTCACTAATGACATCTTGAACCATAACATCATAATCATTAGTATTTATCGCACATACAACATCTGAAGCTCTGAATTCAGTTTCTAAGACCTGAAAATGTGTCATTTCAAATTGAATAAAATATGAGTACATATACAGAAAAGCTCTAAACTGACATATTAATTACCAAGTTTTGTTAGGTCACTTCTAAAATTGAAAATCAATCCAAAGTTCATGCATAACTTCAAAAATAAATAAATAAATAAATAATATTGACATGTTCAAGTATGGTTTATTTACCTGATTCTTAGTTGAAGATTAGGCATCGAACAATATCTGTTATGACCTTCAGAAATAAGCTGACATGATTTTTGTTTCCCTTCGTTTGTGATACGTTTGGTTGGTCGCTTGCCTTTGGACGATAATGCCCCTGGATGATTCTTAACGCCTTCTTTAACTACTCAAAAGGCTTGGAAAAGTTAATCCCAACGGAAAAAAAAATGTCAAAATTGAAAATCTTCCGACACCGGAAGGATCTGACGTTCGAAGGCGAAGAAATTCAAACAAAAAATCAAACACCCAACAGAAATTCAGAAACAAAAAACTGACATTTACGGGTAAAACAGAAAGATGAAAGGGAAAAAAAGTTTAGGGTTTACCTGGACGAAAACGAAGAGTAGAGGGGAAAACCGGCGCCAAAAAAACCAATAGTCGGTGGTCACCGATCATCTCCAAAAACTTGATTTACAATCTGAACCGGAGGAACCGTTGGTGGTTCGTCAGATCCACCATCGGCACTCGACGGAGGCGACGTGACTGGCAAGATTGGTTTTGGAAGAGTGTGGGGAGAAATTGGTTCTGATGGAGTGGCGAGGGAAATCAGAGTAGAAGAAGAAGCAGTCGGTATGTGGAACGGCGAGGGAAGATGGAGTGACTGAGTGGTGGAAGGATCGGGTTTTGGAGAGGCATCGGGATAAACTGTGTATCAAGATCTGTATCAAGAGGCATCGGTGTGTATCTATTGGATGATAGTGCCGGTGGAGGACACGTAGTAAAAAGAAAGGCAGATGTAGCCATCCGATTGGAATCCGGGGAGGTGGAAAGGGGGGACATATCACGTGTTCTGGACACTAATCCACTCCTCTCAGTTTTAATATGAAAAAGAAAAATGGCAAAAACTACCAAAAAACAAAGACGGAAAAAGAAATCCAAAAATACACAGACAACCATAAAAGAAGGATCAGTTTTACCAAAAAAGGCGGATGTTTACTGTTCCCCAACATTGTCCAAGTTTAATATGTATATATAATAATTATTCATCACTTTTATTAATTACGATATAATCCCCAAATTTTGAACGAGAATAACATTAATGCCCCCCTTCTTCTTTTTCATCAACTTAGGGGTATTTTTGTAAATATCATAAATAATCCCTTCCTCTTTGTATTGTTAATTTATATAATGTATTTTAAATAATTACAACCTAAGCCCTTTTTTCACTGAAAGCTTGATATAGAAAAATTCAAATAAAAACCACATATATTTAATATTTAATATATATTTTTAGGTGGTATTTTAACATTTAAAGTTTAAATATATTCTTTATTATTTGAAAAATACAATTAAATCATGAATTACATAAATATAGCTTGTATTTTAATACTAATAATATAAAAATAATATTAAAAGAAAAAATAATAATAATAATAATAATAGAAGGCAAAAAAAAACAAAATAAAAAAATAAGAAAGCAAACAAAAAACCAAAAAAAAATCAATGAATGCAATAAATAACAATAATTACATATAGATTCCTTTTAACTTTTTTTTTTCAAAGCGATTAACATGGAAATTAGACCAATTACATTATGGAAATAGTTTGTATTGAAATTTAAGTCACTCGATCCTATCCAATGTTTTAAAAATCGGTTTTTTAGTTGAACCGATATAGTGATCGGTTTCCGGTTTAACCGGTTCGACCGGCGGGTCAACCGATTTCTATAATTTTCATATTTTTTCCTATTTTCCTATGCATACATACATTTATAAATTATGAGTTTGACGTTTACAAGTTCAAACATTAAAAATATACATACAAATAAGTTGTAGATCACTCCAAATACATTAAAAACTTTATAACATTTATCATATGTTTTTATTTAAAGAAAACTACATAAATTTGAAAAAATTCACCAAAGTTTATTATGAAAATGGTTCTTTTCCATTAGTTTTTATTTGGTTTAACCGGTTCAACCGGTATATTTTGACCGGTTCAGCCGGGTTTTTTCTAAAAACCGGCTGGTTCAATCCGGTTCAAAAATCAACGTAAACCGGTGATAGTTGAACCGCTCCCTTCCCCGGTTCCCGGTCCAACCAGTTTGACCGGCCGATTCAAACCGTTTTTTAAAACATTGATCCTATCTAAGGTGTTTGATATGTACATATTCAGTTATATACTTTGTGTAGAATCTTAATAATTTTTGGCTATTTTATTTCAATTAATGAACAAAATGTACTTAATTATGTTTGAATTGCATTTTCAGCCTAAAAGATGTGCTCGGAAGCAAAAGGAAGCGGGAATAACAATCGGAAGCTCAGGAATTGAAGAAAGAAGAAAAAGAGTCAAAAACCTAAAGAACTCGGCGAGTCGGACACCTACTCAACGAGTAGGAACGAACATTCGCAAACCATCAAGTACCTTACCGCGCACGGATTTTAAGTGAGGGACTCGGCGAGTCAGCCATGGACTCGACGAGTCGCCCATGTATTCAGAAAACTATATAAAGGGCATAGACTTACGAGACAATGACCTCTCTCTGGAACCCTTGGAGACTGAATTGCGATTGAAAGTGTTGTTGGAGCTTTGGAAATCGAAAATCAATCCTAGCATTCAATTTTGAGGAGATCGAAAGGCACAAATAAATTCTCTTTTCTTAACCTAGTGTTTACATCATGTTTAAGTCATTAGATTTAGTTTGCGAGATATTTTCTGCTATGAATATGAGTTAAAAACTCTTTGCATATGTTTAGGGTAGACAAACTTATAACTATGGTTTGAATTTTATGACTTGGATTATTTAATTTGATGAATTGTTTTGTTAAGCTTGTTAAGGATCCTCATGTGTTGACAATAACTATTTTCTGTTAATTATCAAGTCTATTAAGTTGCATGAACATCTCTTAATTGCTTGTCTCATATAATTTATGTGAAAACAATATTATATGTCTAGGAATAGTAAACATGAAACTAGGGGTTAATTAGAAAATAGGTAAGTCAATGTGTGAGCTTGTGTGGCGTACAACCATACAAGAAGTTAATTGTATTAGTAATTTAATTAGCTAACTACAAGTCTTACTTAACCCGAATCAATAAACTAGAAAACTCATTAGTTTAACCAATTGGCCATTGTTTGAATTAATCTGATTTCTAAGGATTAGTAATAGTGAACATGAACCTAATCATATTAATCGGTAGCCAAGGACAAATTAATTCATTGCATTTGCCATAAATTCAACCATAGGAATAAGTGAGTCGAACCTGAACATAAGTCTCCTTTATTATTGAATTTAGTTGATTTTTATTTGCCTTAGCTGTTAATTGTTTTGTTTGAGTGTTAGTTAAGTACTTAAGTTTCTAGTCTTGTAAAACTAGAGAAAACATCTTCCCTTTTATTATTTGCTTTTTAGATAATTCTAGTAGTTAGTTTAATTACCGTTCCCTGAGTTCGATACCCTGCTTTCTTAACTAACCAATTGACAGGTACACTGTCATTTGTATGTCTAAATTATATTTAAAAAAGTAGGACTAAAACTAGTATGTTTAACACACATCAATGTTGATTTTTTCAAAGCCAAAATGATTGTAGTTTACGGATCATATCTTAAACCTCAACAGAAAAGATGTGGACCAAATGTTTGCATTCTATAAAAAAAAGTTGTTTGGTTTTTAACATCTGTAAGTTGCTAAAAAAACGAAATTTAAATAAACTAATTTTAGAAACTTAAGATTGTTTTTCAACACCGAAATTTAAATAGATATAGTCTTACAATACTTAAATAAAATTTATACAACCACAATAATTCTAATCTTACAATAACAATTCCAGTTAAATTAATTCATTCTATATTTTGTATTGAGCTACTCAGCAATTTCATCTTGTAAATGAATTATATATTCACAGTCCAATGTGGTACCATGTTACTGCATGTGTTGGAAATTCAAAAATAATATTCATGGAGCGTGGAATTCATAAATAAAGGCAGAAATTCAGATATAAGCAAACTTCAAGTATCAATTTCATAAAGCTTTCATAACAAATAAGAAGTTCAAAATCATCTTCATGGAGTCTGGAAAAATTCATGTATAATAACTTCATATATCAAACTTCATAAAAAAGCAAACCTATGTAATAAAATTCTCGAAAAAATCAAATTCAGCCTCAAGTTGTCTAGGTATGAAATAGAAATCCAAAGAATGGTGAAATATAACAAAACAATTTATGAAATTCAAATTTAGCGAGTTCATGAAGGAACAAGAAACTTCTAGCAATAAGACAAATTTCAAGACCTTACCTGGTAGAAGTAGCTTCGGCGAAGGTAGATGGAGGCAAAGCAGATTCCGATGAATGAAGAAACAGATTTCGGCGATGAAGGCAACGGTTTCGGCAACGGCAACAACGGCTTGCGACGACAAGGACTCAGATGAGGAAGTGTCGACGGCAGCAATGTTGGTAGAGGAAGGCAACATCGCCGGTGGAGAAGGGATGCGTTGTGAGAAGGAGATGCTCGATGAAGAGGAGAGCTGATGATGTTCGGTGTTTTTATGGAAAAAGGAGGCATGAACTAAAACATAGGGTATTAACTTTTATTTTATAATTTTTTGTCTAGAAGAGGCCTGCAAGAAAGGTCTTCTCGCCCGAAGACATTGGTCTAGGTCTTGTAATGTGCATACGTTTTGACGTCTGTAGACGTCTGCTGTCTTCTAAAAAATAAACATTTTTCAAAACTTTGCAGACATAAAGGTCTTCCCACCCGCAACATAAGTGCTCAAAAAGAGCTTTTTGCAAAAAAAAAAAAAAAGAAAACAAAAAAAAATGCCACCTAATTATTCATTAAGCGACATCTGTTAAACCATAAAGAAAATGATTGAAAAACAACTTATTAGTAGACCTGGCAATGGGGCGGGTTTGGAGCGAATCAACCTTGATCCAAACCCTTTTAACAAATTCCAAAATCCGATTCAAACCCGCTTCGTAACCCGTAGGGTTTTGAATAATCAAACCAATACCCTTATCCACCGAATCAGCAGATATCCAAACCCCCCCCCCCCCCCCCCCCCCGCGTAACCCATAGGTTTTTTGAATAATCAAACACATTTTACTTAAATCATAAAATCACATTTATTAAATAAAACAAATGTTGATTTAGAAAACACATTATGTACTCGAAGACTTCCGATTGGAATTAAAATCATTATCGTAGTTACTTCCGATTGGTTTTTGACCGTCGATTGCATTGATAAAGAATAGGAATTACAAACTTTCTTCTGGTTGATAAATGAACTTATTGATTTATAAATGAAATTGGTGATTACATGATGAAATATAAATGAAATGACATCATGATTCTTGGGAGAAAACCGGAAGTCTAGAAGTTGAGTCCTATGTAAAAACGGTTTAGTTTTTGGCCTTTTCTCTTTGGACTTTCGATTGGAATTTAAAGTAAACTTTA